TCTCTACCTTAGCATTTAGCCCACCTACGACTTGCTATTATAGCTTTAGGTGAGGCTGACACTGTCCGCTGCTTGCGTTGATGAAGCCCTTAGACTGTCTCCAACAGGGAGATGCAAACCCAAAATGTGTTCCTCACAGTGCTTTGCCTACCCAAAAACAGTCTCCAACGGGTGACCCAAACACATGACCCATTTTGGGTACCGGCACAAACGATACGCAAAAAAGCATCACCTCTCTCCTCGCTACGCAAATCTCCGATGGTGGCCCGCCCGCGCACGCGTGTTTTCGTCTTCTCTGTCGCGGAGGGAAGATGGACCGGGAGGAGGCGCACGGGACCGTAGCTCGGCGGCGTCCTGGGCCGCGATGAGGGCGCGCGCGGCGGCGGCGGGGGCGGTGCTGGCGGCTGGCGGCTCCAGCGGCGGCGCAAGACTTTCATGCATGAGGCGCCGCGCCGCCATGGTGACGATGGGAGCAGCCGCCGGGAGAGGGGCGCGCGGATCCGGTGGGTGGGGGCGTGGGGGTAGGTGCGGCGGCGCGCAATTGGGCTCGAGAGGAGCGGCGGCCAAACGCAGCGATGGCATCTCATCGGAGCTCGCGGGTGCGGCCTCTCCAGACCTCACGCTTCACGGGCACGCGCGAAGAACCGGCGCGCTCGAGGATGGAGGCTGGCTCGCTTCGCGGCGGCGTCACGAGGAAGGCTGAGGCGGCGCGCTCACGGTGGCGGCCAACGCAGCGACGGCGTCTCGTCGGAGCTCGGGAGCGTGGCCGTCCTATCGCAGCTACGGCGCGTGGGGCTTGACGTGGGGGCACGGCAGGCCATGGCGCTGTTGGAAAGGGTTGAGTTATGGGTGCGTGACCATTTCCTGTGCATAACCCAAAACCTGAAATGGGTGTTGTCGGGGACCAAATACTAGGGTACCCAAAGAGGTTTAGCTAATAACCATCAAACGTTGATGGTTCCGAACAGACAAGAACGCAACTACACTTCTTGCACATACGACCTAAGGTTGGCTCCGCCTTGCCCGGCCCCCGAGGGTTAGACTCTGCCTTGACCAACGTCCGGGCGGACTCACGCCTTGCCCAACGCTTGAGGGCATACTCCGCCTCGCCCGACGGCCGAGAGGTTCACTCCGCCTGCCGCCAGTGAGGCGGGCTCCGCCTCGCTTCGATGACGGGGATCGCTCCTGCCTCGTCCGACGCGACGGGGCGGCTCACCTGCCGCCGACGTCCGGGAGGCTCTCGCCTCGCCCGACGTCTCGGGGCAGGCTCCGCCTCACCCGACGTCATGGGGTTGGCTCCGCCTCGCCCAACGTCTGCACCTTGCTCATTCATGATGACAAGCATAGGGTAAGACAGGACACTCAAGTCAACCGCAGTACCGAAGACCATACCCTGCATGCCTACGGGAAAGTACCGTCAGGATATGACGGAATGGGCGCTTTAAGCCCTTCTAGGCATGACAGAGCCCGAACAGTGTTGTAGGCGCCGACTTTTGTCTTACAATGTTGTGGACACCGCCATCGGCCCTCGGACGTGGACCTTGACGTAAGCATATGACAACCACTACGGTCTAGGAGGGAACTCACGTCATCTATAGTAACAGACATATGTTACTTCCCCGTCTGCTCCTCGTGGGGTTGTGGCTCGGCACCCTGGTGCGTCGCGCCGCCCGCCGGTGCAGGATGGGACATGACCACTTGCTGAATGAAGCTAGAGCATGGCCCTATCAAGATCAGCGAACGTGCTAACCCTGGCACCGTCTGCCATGTCTGCAGGGCTAACTCAGAGGAGAAGGAAAACCTGGCACTTTCGGAGGACCTTCTTGGTCTCTGTTTTTTCTTCTTTCTCCCATCTGTAACCCTGCTCCCCCTTTGATCGATAAAAGGAAAGGCAGGGCACCCCACTAAGGGGGCATTGATTCAACACTCCACACACCACATAACACACAGCTGAGCAGTAACCGAGCTCTCAGCACCATTTCGACCTTTCCATCAGAGACTTGGGACATGTCCCTCTCTCGATCGTTTGTACCCCCTACTATGAATATTTCAGTGCTAATAACAAGAGCAGCAACAGCAGACTGGACATAGGGACATTCTGTCCGAACCAGTATAGACCTTGTGTCTTTTAGCACATCCTCTAAACTTAACGCACAACAAATACAAATTTACTAGTTAGTGTTTACTCAAAACACCGACATGTGTCGTGTTTATGGCTCCTTTGTCGGGGACAGTCTTAGGACAGCTCCCGCACAAGCGTATACAAGTAGTGGTCTCAGACAAAAGCAGCGGTGAGGCTATCCTAGACAATTGATTCTCCCAAAGCAGGCATACAATGCCTATCCTTTTATGGTCCCATCGTTCCTTTTATGGTCCCATCGTTTGGCAGGAAGCTTTGTCAGAGTTTTTATGTGCTTGAACGATTCTTTCTCACCACGCGCTCCAAACTGTGTACTCCGGTCTTTTGTGAGACGAAGCTATCGCAGCTCTGCAGGATCCTCTGACCGGTCTGCGAAGCATACTCCTCATTTACATTGAAATTGTCGTTTTTTTACTTTTGGACTTCTTATTTGTTGTTTGTCTCATTCAAAAATTTTATATAAATACTATTTATTTTCTTATAACTTATTTTATTATTAGAGATACTTTAATAATAATTTATTTATTTTATTATTTAAACAATAAAAAAATCTAAAAATAAAAAACAACACTTTCAACAAGACACCGGAGTACACTAGCGATGATTTAGATACCATATCTAGAGGACGGGGCTTCTGTACAAGATGTAGCGTTGGGGTGGCCTCAAGGTTGTGGCGCCGAACTCACTGCCAAAAGCAGTGGCGTCCACTTCCACGATGTCGCTCTGCACGTTCTGTCTCTGTTGCCGCAGCGACCAACAATCCTGCTTTTTCTCTCTCCGTGCCTGTTTAACTTCGGAATTTTACAGGAATCACGTAATTTCACAGCAATCAATTTAATTTCACAGAAAAAAAAAACACAAATAGGAAAAATTTCCGAGGTACAAACAGACCCTCGAAGTCTAAACCAAATCCTTCCAATGTTCAGATCTGAGCGCCATGGCTGTGTGTGAGGGGATGCGGTGCTAATGCTCCTGGGCCATGCTGCTGTCTCCAGTCTCCTGTCCGTCACCAACCTCGCCAGCTTCTGCAGCACATGTCGTTTATGCGGTACAAAAGCTGGAATTTAGATGATAGTACCACCTGTCAGCCCCGTCCAAAAAATATATATAATTCTTGATTTTCGAGAAGTCGAGCAGTTTAAATTTTAATAAAAATTTATATAAAAAAGTACTAACATTCAATATGCAAAATAAATACCATTAGATTCATTATAAATATATTTTCATAATATATTTATTTAGAGACATGGGCATGTTCGCTTGAACTTATCAGCCAGCTTATCAGCTAGAATCTATAGTATTTCTCTCTCACAATAAATCAGCTTCAGCCGACTTATCAGCCAGCTTTAATATCAGCCAAACAGGCCCTAATGTTAATAGTATTTACTATAAACTTGGTCAAACTTAAACTATATTAACCGACACGGATTCAATAATTACATTCTTTTACGGAATAGAGGAAGTACTCCTAGATGCATACTCCCCCGTCCCAAAATAGAGATTGTTATGGGATGCGTGCAGATAAAAAAATTTCAACTTTTGACTAGATTTATAGAAAATATGTGTAACATTTATATCTCCAAATAAGTTTATTATAAAAATATATTCAACGATCTACCTAATGATATTAATTATGTATTATAAATATTAATATTTTTAATATATATTTGATCAAAGTTAAAAATGTTTGACTTCTCAAGAAATGGGAATGATATTTATTTTGGAACAGAGGGAGTACGGAGTATATAGGCAACACAACAACCAAAGCAGGATATTATATGAATAGTGCATGTTAATAACCCATTCACAAATTCTGAAATCACCAGGCCTTCTTTTCCAGACTAGGTGGGCAAAGATTTAATTGTTTTTTCATATAGCTGCCAACACTCCAGGATGACTATATATATGCCCACTACCACACTCATTGTTATCCTAAACGCTAAATGATAAACAATCAGTCACCTTTTGTTTAGCGTTTAAACAGTTTAGACGATGTTTAAACAAATTAAAACAGTTAGTTTTACACAATATATTACCAAAATATGTATATTTTTTATGTAAAATTAACTATTCTAGCATTTATATGCATTTATGCAATAAAAATCAATTATTTTAGTATGTATATATATTTATGCATGTGAAAAAAAAACAAATATACATATTTATGCAATTATGCATATAACAAATCAAGTGCAAAATGGCGGCGATCAAAGCTGGCCGGCTCGTTGCACCCAGGAGGCCAGGACTCCAAGTCCAATCCCGATCCTACAAGAACTCCAAGGCCAGAGCCTGCAGGCCGATCGATCATTGTGTCACACCCCGTGGCCACCGGTGGTGAGGACTGGACGTGAAGAAGACGAGGATGCTCTCACCGGTAGGTTCGGTGGCCACCGACAAAGATTGCCGGGACGTGAGAAGATTTGCCGCCGTGGAAGAAAAGAGCAGGGCAACACCCAATTTAATTTTCTGATCCCCTCTACTCTGGTCCTTCTCTGGCTTATATGCCTGCCTTCACATAATCTTACATGTGGGGCCCCTTTGTGTATAGACCATGTCTATGGGTGTTACACTGTATAGACCATGTTTATGGGTGTTACATTTCCACCCCCACAAAGGGGACAAGCAACGGCATGACCTGCATAACCTTGATCAGCTATCTCATCTCTCCAAATTCCAACGTCCCATTGTCTCTCAGTCATCAGTGCAAGCTGATGCTCACATTCTGTTGGCCTGAAACCCCTCCATCCCTATGATGACATTTTCTGGAGTACTGACCGAAACATTTCAATCTTGCAATTTCCAAGGGGAATGGTACTAACACTCCATGGTTGTAATTCCATAACCACAATGTGCAGACCACTTAATCCTTGGCATTCTTCATAGAATCATAGATGGCAAAGTTCTCACTGCCATGGTTCAACTCCTGGACTGCAGGAAGTTCACCAGATATGCCATTTACAGTGACGGATGCCAAGTTCTAGAATCCCTGGAAAATCATGGACAAAACTAAGAAATTTGGTGCATCGCTGTCCTTGCACAAAAGTTCTCTCTCTTTGCTTGTCATCCAGGTCATCTCCTTTCCATGCCAGCTGCGACAAAAGATGTCCACCCCACAAAATGTTGCTTGTCCCCAAGCAACAGCATGAAAAATACCAGGATCCTATGGACGGATGATGGATAAGATAACCAAGGAGTCCCTAACATCAAGATGTAATACTGATATGCATATACTGCCGTTGATGAGCAAACTGAAGCATCTCTTTCTAGCACAGAGATTACCAAGAATTAGAGCTCCAAAAATCATGTCCTCAAGTACCAGATCAGCAGCACAATTAGCATCACTCTGTGATATGCATCTCCACACCGTCCAAGTCAAGAATTGATTAGTATCTTCTCCATGACTAGTTTCATCTTGTTTGAATTTGTACTGTTCGCTGGCACTAAATCCCTTGAGCCAGGAAAGCCTGAGAGGGCAATGGTTCTTTCATTTCCATCTGCAGAGATGATGCTGAATTTGCAGTCCAAGAGCTTCCCAATGAGCTGACAGCAGCAATGTGATGCTCATCTGATTCCACATCAGCTATGCATTTATAATACCAGGCACAAAATTCAGTTGTATCCCTCCTGGATTCCCAGAGCCAACAATCCCTCCTGGATGAGCACTCAATTTTGTGGAATTGAGAATAGGACCACGGATACCTGGATCCCATTGTCTCTCCACCATCTTGTATTGCTCAAGTTGCAGCTCACTTTCTCTTGGACTAAAACCGCCTCTATTCCATGAAAGTATTTTGTTGAAAATTGAACAAGTAGCTTTTGTATCAGAATTTCATGGGCTGAGAGCATTTCGCCTCCATAGTGCTACACCAAAGGCCACATAATGAGCACCACCGCATATTTCTTGCTTTCCATCAAAGATAACCAAGTCTTTGCAGTCACTTTCCATCTCCTGGCCAGCCCATGCTCCATAACAAGCAAGGCATAAATGGCTCAGGCACTGGTGGTTAAGACATTGTGGAGAAAAATGATCTGTCACACACCCTGCAGATGGCGGCATCATTCTCAAACATGCAACATATACTTCTTCTAGCTGCAAATTTTCATTGCACTCGTAGAGCGTTTCACAGGATACTTGGTCATCAAGCTCAAGCGTTTCTTCCAGCCCATGGTCTACAGAACTCATACCAATCTCTAGATATTGTAACGAACTGCTCTCATGAGTGAGTATCTCAGCAACTAATTTACCTGCTTCATCAGCATTTGAGGTCTCACAAATTTCCAGAAAATGTGACAAGCCACCGATATGAGTAAGCGCCATCAGTGTCAACCTCGATTACCCCTTTTGCCTTCTCGCTAACTATGCTCGCTCTAGTACCTGAAGCTGCTGCAGTAAGTCATGGCAAAAACCAAGGTCTTGCAACGGCTCGTCATCCCACACAACATCCCCACAAGGCATTTTGTTGAATGCCTCATCCATGCTATACTCCAAGAGAAGGGGATCACTATTGACAAGAGTGGGAATGCTATTGCCATGGAGGAACAGCTGAGCAGTTGGCTTTGTCTCCTCGGCACCTATGAACTCTCCACCTTGAGCTAGTTCCTGCAACAAACCATGGTGCAAGTCGAGGCTGTCCAAAAATTCATCATCTTCACAGGGTATTTCATCAAACATCACCTCCACAGAATTCATGCCAAGATCTAAGAGAAGTTTATCATCACTGACTTGCCTTAACTTGTCACTGATGTCCAGCTTCACACTTGTCGTCCTCTCATCATCAACCAAAGATTCACCAGACCCTGCTACTTGTTGCAATAGACCGTCCTGCGAGTCAACATCATGCAATAAATCATCGTCCCAGACCACAACCATCTGAGGCATTACCGTCCCAGACCATCAAGCTTTTGCTCTGATTAGGCATCAAGACATTAGGGGGCTGGAGCCTCCCCCCCCGGGATCCACTTGCCTGAACACTTGCGCCGCCTTGCTGTGGCATTCCGCCCAGTATCTTGGGAGAAGAACGCTTGGCAGGTTCCATCACGAGCTCCTCGCGACAACGACTCATGCCCTCAGACCAACCTATGGTGAGTGGGTGTTCTGCAGGATGGAGCAACCACTTTGCCAACCGCAACGCCATCACGCTCAGTACCTCCACGACGAGTAGCACAGGCACACCGAGGTCCGAGAATAAGCCACCACGCTTCTGCTACGCCGCCACGTCAGATTCCCCGAGGAGTGGTCTACCGCCGCCACACGCCACCAGAGTATGCACCGCCGCCGAAAGGAGGAGTAGCCGCCGCGGAACAAAACAGAGTCCGAGTCCGAGTCGAGTGCCGCTGCAGCGCCGCCCGGAGCTAAAGGTGGGTTGCGCCGAATCGATGAAGTCGCCACGCCGGACCACTGGATCCGCCGCTGACGCGCCAACAGTCGTCGTCGCGAACCCGATAACTAGCGCGGAGAGGAGCTGAGGTCGCCCGCCGCCCACGCCGAGGATACACCGTCTCTGATACCACTTGTCACACCCCGTGGACACCGGTGCTGAGGACCGGGACGTGAGGAAGACGAGGATGCTCTCACCGGTAGGTTCCCGTGGCCACCGACGAAGATCGCCGGGACGTGAGAAGGTTTGCCGGCGTGGAAGACGAGCAGGGCAACACCCGATTCAATTTTCTGATCCCCTCTGCTAAGACGATTTGCAAAAATGGGATTAGAAACATTGAACGTTTACAGATCTGACACTGGACCCGTATTCACGGGCACAGATAGAACTCGTCATCCACCGAATGTCATCGTAATCTTACATGCCTTCCTTCTGGGGATAAAAACGGTATAGATATTTTTCAATGTATTGACTAGAAGATCGTAGATTTGATATTCACTCCAACCTATCCGTATCCGAATTTCAGATATATGATGTCGACATCTAATCGTATCCCACTTGTCATCTACCCCGATTATATATAATATCAGTGATATCCGTTCATATCGATTCGTTTTCATCCATACTTCCTTCGCATAATCTTACATGTGGGGCCACTTGTCATCTCTGGCCCTTCTCTGGCTTATATGCCTTCCTTCACATAATCTTACATGTGGGGCCCCTTTGTGTATAGACCAAATCTATGGGTGTTACACTGTATAGACCATGTCTATGGGTGTTACACATTGCCAGACCGATCGACACAGAGCATTTGTCCTGGGGATGCTCCGTTGCTTGTTCTGGGTCGCCATCATCCTGGGGACCATGCATTTGTGGCAATCGACGATGATATTTGTTGTTGGAACCTGCAACTGCATAATTTACCTCAAACAGGAGGTTTTCCAGAGTCATTTGAGGTTACTGATAATAAGGCGGAATAGCATGCATTGCTCACTTCTCTCCTTCCTGCTGGAAGGAAAAGACGGTTTTTGTAGAGTTACTGCTGTTTCTGGTCTGGACCGTACATGATTTTCCACATCTCTAAATCCTTGCCCCTCTCGTATTCTCTGATGTACTGAGGAATCTCTGCAGGGTCTATCTGCTTTCCAACAAAACCTGGTCCATATCCATCGATCGGATCACCATGCCCTGTGGATAATAATTGGGATGAAAGGAAACGATTTAGATCACTTGACAACACTCGTTTTGTTAACGAAGCAGAGAGACCTTTGCAAACAATTTACCATCTTGAGCTGTGAAGAAACTTCGGAAGTGCGCGTAACCATTGGCCACGACGTCTAGTTCATCTAGACTGAAGTTGTATCTCTTCTCCAGGGCCAAGTATAGCACCTACAAAATGCAAACAAGAATCTTGATTCTTGATCCTTCGCTTTGGGAAGGCGCCTTAACTCAAGACTTTGGAGCTGAATAATGAATAGTAAATGATGAGTTCAATGGTACCTTCTTGGCACCACATGACATCAATTTCTTCACCGTGCCGAAGAACAAATCTGTGAGATCATCACTGTAAATAACATCTGCAGCAAACAGGACTGTTGCTTTCTCAGCCTCCTCAACTTCACTTGCAGACCATATATACCGACTGCACCAGAGAACATGGAATTAGCCTGTGCCAAAGAAACACTTGAATAAAGCAAAGGCTATTGTATAGAGGAGTTAGAGAACTCCATTAATGTCTCTGTTAGGATACTGTAAATTGGGTACTATCCGGTGAACAACCTACGACCTCCCCATTACCCACCCCATGCAAAAGAGTGCGAAAAGTTCAAAAGAATTGCATCAGTTCTCCTTTTGTAGCCAACAAAGGTGCTTATACACCTGAGGCTATGACCAGCTACCATCTTTCTGGAGGATGATTCTGCCCTTGTTTTAATCTGTACACTGGGGCTCACTCCAGCCACTAATATAGGCAAGATAACATATGTAGCAACTCAAGTGCAGGAAGGGCTCCTCTTCCATAGACCATGGCGTAGAAGCCCCACTGATTAAGTGGTGTGCAGGTCAGAAGTAAGGTGCCTTCATTTACACCAGAACTCGCATAAATCCCCCATATCAACTGCGATCAATTTTACATCCTGTAGCTTACACAGTTAAATTCATGTCTTGGATTCTACTCCCTCCAATTCCAGATTATAAGACGTTTTGGCTTTTCTACATACAATTGCTTTTATTATGCATCTAGACATAGTGTATATCTAAGTACATAGCAAAAGCTACGAATCTAAAAAAGGCAAAACAGTCTTAAAAATTGGAATGGAGGGAGTAGCATACAACAAATGCAATGCAAAGCCACGCTGGAATATTTTGTTTATAAACAGGAAGTTGTAAAGCAAATTATGATCTCATATTCAGTCTCCACTTAAAATATAGTTCTTATGGATCACTATTTTGTGATGCATGATGATCAATGATGAAAGTGAGATCAATTGGTGTAGAGAAAACCTTGGATTAGAAGGAACATGTGTACCCACAGGTGGAGGCCATGACGTTTTCCAGTCCAGTTCCCGTACACAGACTTTAGCTTCATCAAACTTTAGCATACCAGAGTTGATATGGACATTAGCCACACAATTATCTAGGATATCAGTGCCTCTATCTGTTCATCCCCATTGGCAAACAAATTCTGTAAGGATTGAAGGTAGCAAAGTGGCTAAACATGAAAAGAAGATGTGAATATATACTGTTCTTCAGGGTGTATGTGTCCCGGCAGAGGGGGGGGGGGGGGTTGGGGCAAATTGTATCACAGAATGCACAAGATATAAATGTGAATTATTTTCCATTATATTATAAAACAAGATATGTGAATTCATCCAGTCGTGCCATATGAACCCACTAACAGGGGATTGACATTTCAACAATACAAATGACCTAAATATTCTTTTTCTAAAAAAAAATCATATTAAAATTGAGACAATCAGGCAGCTAGACAGTATATATGCAGATGTGCCTTTGAATTTCGTGAAAGCAATCAAGTAATAAGGATGAAGGGCGGGCCTGGTGCAAGCGGTAGAGTCTTACCGCCTGTGACCGGAAGGTCCCGGGTTCGAGTCGCGGTCTCCTCACATTGCACAGGCGAGGGTAAGGCTTGCCACTAACACCCTTCCCCAGACCCCGCACAGAGCGGGAGCTCTCTGCACTGGGTACGCCCTTTTTTTTTAATCAAGTAATAAGGATCATAACTGGAATCACACTTCCACAAAGTACTGAATTTGTGATTCCAGCCAAGTTTTCTTATTTCTAGCTGGGACATCTCAAACAAATCTATTTGTCGAACAGAAGCAAAAGAATCAAACTACTATACATATTAGGTTGACATGGAACATGGAATTTAATCAATGACTACAATGTGAGGCAAACAATTTTACCAAATTAAACTCTAAAGGAGAGAAAAGTACCTGTAACAAAAATCCTTCTAGCAACTCGAGCTAGTGCTAAACCTACTAAACCTGACAAACATTGCTAAGTTAGGAAAAGATAACGTAGTGGACCTGTACAGAGAGCTTTAGTAAATATCAAACAAAGCAAGGAACTATCATTCTAGAAACCCATATCCACTAATTTCATGTCAAACCGTCAATTATCACCTGTTCCAGCACCTATCTCAATGGCAGTAACACCATCAAAGTTGGACGATGAAAAGCTTTTGTGCAAAACAAAGTCACCTAATAGCAAGGCCGCTTTCCAAACCTGCACACGAGTAACAACAATGAATCACACAAGTATATAACAGAAAAGCACCATCCATCTTTTTCCAACCTGAAGCCCAACGCTCTTAAGCGAGCTGGTAACACCATGCTGAATAGTGAGCAGATGGCAGTCACTTCTAACTGCAAGCCAAGAAAGCTTAAATGAGAAGCACGCTAATCACAACAACACGACACGTAGCAACGAACAAATGGTGTACCATATTTATTTCTTCTCCTCCTCCGGTCCAGAACGAGATCCCCATCCTCATCCACGGCGACTGCGTCAGGCGAATCACCTCCTCAACAGAGTAAAACATGTTACCCCAACGAACACATACCCACCAAACTAACCTCTACGACAACACGAACTAACGTAAAGACACATCCACTGATCCACAGTCCCATTCACTTACAAGAACCGCTCGTTGCTGCGGCTAACTCGCTCCCGCCGCCACCAACACCATCGTTGTCCCCAGATGGCCCTGAAAACACCGAATCAAAGTTCAGGAGAGTACAAATCATGCCATGTCCCGACAATCTCTCCTCCGTTAGCACTAAGAGGCAGTGCAGGGAAGGTGTATGACGAAAAGCGCGCAAAAGAGCGCGTGGCGTGAGGTGCTGGTACCTAGGGGCCGTGAGGAGAAGCTGAAGTGGGAGATATGGAGGCCGGAGAAGTGAGGCGGGCAGCCCAGGTGCACCTCGCTCATCACCTGCTCCTCCTCGGCTCCACCGCCGCCGGCTTCCATCGTGGTCGGCGGTCAGCCCTCGGACGTTTGTCTACGTCGTCTTCCTCCGTTAGAGAGAAGCCGAGAAGTGATGCAGGCAGCCTGAAAGGTTGGGCCATATTTCTTCATGGGCCCAGCTGTGGGCTTTCCCTCTCTGCGTTAGACAGTCTTTACCCAACGGCACCTGCTCCTCCACATCCCCCGCACCCTCCCGCTCACGGGGCCATCGCCACCCGTCCAGCGCCGGGCCATCGCCACCCGTCCACCGCCCTCCCCAGCAGCGGAGATGGACGAGGAGACCATCGATGCAGCTGCTCGCGCCATCTCCTTTTTGGGCGAGGCGGCTCTCAGCGCCAGCGCCGCCTACCTGGTGACGCGCGCCCGCAGCGTCGCGCTCGCGGCCGAAGGCGCGAACGCCGACCACATCCCGGCGGCCGCGATTGCGCTGAACCAGGTGGAGAGCGGGGGGACGATGCTAGCCGTATCCGGCCTCCGTGGAGCCGCGACCGCGCTGGAGGAGGTGGAGAGCGAGGGGAGGACGCGGGCCGTCTCCGGCCTCCTCGGAGCGGCGACCGCGCTGCAGGCGGTGCTCGGCGTCGGCCATGACAACCTCCGAGACGCCGCGGCAGATTTGGCGCGTCAGTGCGGCGAACACCCGGAGGCCGCAGCGGCGATGGAGAAGGTGCCCCGCGCCGTGGAGGAGCAGAGCCACCGGAATCGGTCTGCGCCGTGGTGGTTATTCTGGAGGCGTCGGGGACACCGCATTGGGGACGTTGAGCAGACTCTTCTTGCCACCGGGTCCACGCCCACCGCTCTGCAGGTACGCGACCGGTTATTTGGGAAATTCGTGTATTCGATCTGGTCAGTTTTTCTCGTCGAACAGTTTGGGTTTATGCCCTGTTCTTGGCCTGTTGGGGCTCCTGATGTGTTACCTCTTTCGATGCTAACAGGGCGCCGCGAGGACGGCCATCGACTTCGTGCGCAATGAGGCGGCGAGGCCCGACCATTTGGTTAAGCTAGCCGGCAAGATCGTTGTGTCTGCGGATAACCTCGCCGTGCCCCATCAGAGCCTGGTAGCGGCCAGGGACGCGTTGCAGCAAGCGGACAGCCCAAGTAGCGTGAAGGCAGCCGTGAATGGCCTCGAGGCCGCGGCCATGGGTGTGAAAGGAGCAGCCAACTCTCGGCAGATTATCCTCCGTAACCCAGTGGTGCAGTTGGCGGCCGCGTGCCAGGAGTACCTCAAAGCTTCTGATGCCATGGCCGCAGTGCAGCACGCTGCTACGGAGCGGGCGCGCCAGAGAGAGAGTGCAGTTGTCCCCGGCCAGAACGCGCCGCCACCGACAGCGCCTGGTCCTGGTCAGGTGAGCCTGCTTTAGTTCTTGGGCGTTGTCTCACCGGCATTCTGCTTGCCATGCGTTTGGCTTTACTAATTGCACTGTATGATTGCTGCAGGGAGACGAGGGGAGGTCCGGTTGGCTGGAGTACGCCTTGTGCGGCTCGCTCACTCTAGCCCCGTACCTGGCAGCCACCAATGGAAATCCAGCTAAGAATCTCGTACTCGCAGGCGATGACAGATGGCACATAAATTTAGCTCTCTCTTTATGGTGGACTATTGTGGCGTCTGGTGCCGTTTGCAGCTCGTATGCGCGATCTTGGATAGAGGTGTGCTATGCACAGCTAGCAGCCCGGGTTGGGATGTACGGTATGTTCTCTGTCTTTGATAGTTTTTTTTTTTTTTTTTTTTGTGACCAGCTTGCCTTTCATTTATATTTGAACGGCCTGAGCCTCAGAAAGCATAGGTCGGGGTTTCATGCCACACCTCCGACTGGTTTGTATGCGTGACTTGTTTTGCTAGTACATGAGCTATCTTATTACATGATCGACTAACAAATTTAAACACGAACTCACTAAAGGCAAGCTTCAGCTCATTAATCTCTGTCAGCACCGGATCAAGTAGGGATCGGTGCAGCTCCTTCTTTTCCGACAGTTGAACAAGTTCGAGGCAATCCGTCTCCACCTGAACCCGCTGCAAACCGAGATGACGTGCCAATTTCACTGCATCCCTGCAGGCCAAAGGTTCACGCATACCTGCATCAATGAGATTTCCATACCAGATCGCCTGTGCATGAATGAACTCTCCACGATGATCTCGGATAACACATGCAGTCGCCTCGCTGCCTTGATCTGCATAGAAGGCTGCATCTGTATTCAGTTTCAGGCACCCAGGGTCCAGCAGCTTCCACCTTGGCATCTGCTGCCCCCTGCCCTGCTGCCCAACCTGTTCCAGGAGATTCCAAAGATCAACAGCCGTATCGCACGCCCAGATGACTGCCTGTTGCAGGGTTACCGTCTGTTCCCCATGCCTCCTTTTGTTCCTCCTCATCCATAGTGCCCACATTCCGCACAGGATGACCGATCAGTCACGTTCAGAGCAAATATCCAGGAGCAGGTCAGAAGCCCAGGTGACCGAGTTCAGGTTTGGCATTTTCAGTCTGATCGCCTCCCTCACCTGAAGCCAGAACTCTTTTGCCACACTGCATTCGAGTAGCACATGTCTGATGGATTCTTCCGGATCACCACAAATCTCGCAGTAGGCAAGTGGTTCAATGTGCCTTCTGTGTAAGATTTGTTTAGCCGGCAAGAACTCGTGGAGAACCCTCCACCAAAAGACTTTCACCTTGGGCGGTACTGATAATTTCCAAACCGACTTCCATAGTCGATCATCCGATGAGCTCGGTTGGTGGCCAACCATTCCTTCCATTTTCCGGTTATACAGCAACTTGTACGCTGACTTTACAGTGTAGACCCCAAAACGTTCCTTCTCCCAGGCCCAAGAGTCAAGTTGACCACACCCCAAAGGCTGGCGAAGTATGGCCTCAGCATCAATTGGTAAAAACTGCTATCGCACAAGAGTTTCATTCCATTGTCCGCTCCCTGTAAGCAGTTCAGAAACCATCTCAAGCTGCTGATCGACTCTGGGAGTAATCTCCCTAGCATCAAAGTGCTTGGCTATCCATCTATCTCGCCAAATCCGTGTCGTGTCTCCATTGGCTATCCTTTTTATCAATCCCATTTGCAACGGTTCCCGGCCCGCCAGGATTGCACGCCAAGTTGAACTGGCACGTTTCTTCCTTGTGGCCAGCATGAAATCCGAATCGTGGAAATACCGCCCTTTTAGGACCCTAGCACAGAGTGCATCCGGTCTCATAATCAGCCGCCATCCTTGCTTGCCAAGCATTGCAAGATTGAAACTTCTGAGATCCCGAAACCCCATGCCCCCTTTGCATTTGGGCATGGTCAGCCGGTCCCAACTCATCCAGTGGAGGTGTTTGTTATCTGCAGAACTCCCCCACCAATAGTTTGCTGTTGCCGATTTGATCTTCTTGCAAATATTCAGAGGCAATAAAAAACAGCTCATTGAATATGTGGGCACAGCTTGAGCAATGGATTTCAGCAACACTTCCCTTCCTGCACAGCTAGCCTCACGCCCACACCAACCTTGAATTTTTCCTTTCACCTGAGTTGGTAGATACTCGAAGGTCCCACTAACATCACGGCCTACCTCCGTTGGGAGACCCAAATACTTCTCAGCAAGAGCCTCTTTATAGATTTGCAAACCATTGCACACCATGTCCCTCATCTGTTGAGAACAATTCTTGCTAAAGAAAATGGCCGACTTCTCTCTATTAACTAGTTGTCCAGAGCCCTTACTATATTTCTCCAGAATCTCCAGTAATCTGTTGGCCCCTCCATGCGTCGCTTCTGAGAAGACAATGCAGTCATCGGCAAAGAGAAGATGCGAAACCCAGGGAGAGTGTATTCCAACTCAAACACCCCTGGAGAGATGCATTGGACCAATCGATTTCAAAAGACAAGAGCCCTTCTGAACATAACAGAAATAAATAGGGAGAAATCGGATCCCCCTGTCTAATACCCCGAGTAGGTTTGAAAGACTCAGTCAAGGTTCCATTCACTCTAACAGAAAACAATACTGAAGTAACACATTTCATCGCCAAATCCACAAAGGAAGCATGGAAGCCAAGCTTGAGCATAATGCCCCTCAGGTATTCCCATTCCACTCTATCATAATCTTTGGCCATATCGAGTTTGACAGCACATGCCCCGAGTTTGCCCTTCTTCCTCTTCAGATAGTGGATGCACTCATAAGCCACCAAAATATTGTCTGTAATCAACCTGCCAGGTACAAACGCGCTCTGCTCTTCTGCAATAATTTCATCCAAGAATTCCCTCAGTTGTAGCGCCAGTACCTTGGAACAAATTTTATATAGCACATTACAAAGAGAGATCGGTCTGAACTCCTTCATCTCCTGTGGATCCCTTGTCTTTGGTATTAGAACTAATGTCGTTCTATTAAGATTTTCTGGTAAAATTCCACCATTTAAAAACTCCAGCACCCCATCAGTCACATTTGCCCCCAAAAGATGCCAGTGAAGCTGATAGAACCCTGCTGTAAAGCCATCGGGTCTAGGAGCCTTGTTGGCCCCCCATCGCAAACAGAGCTCTCTCCACTTCCCCAGCTGAGTATGGCCTCAACAATCGGTCATTCATAGTCTCATTAATTTTTCTAGGAACATGCTGCAAAATGAGGTTAGGATCTAAATCATCTTGAGCTGTGAACAAATTCTTATAAAAAGTGGATGCCACTTCCTCAATTTCAGCCTGATCAAGCGCTACCGAACCATCCTCACGTTTGAGAGAAGAAATATTGTTTCGTTTCGCTCTCACCCGTGATTTGGCCTGGAAGAACGCTGTGTTCCGGTCTCCATCTTTCAGCCATTCCATCCTCGACCGCTGTTTTTCCATTATTTCCTCTCTGGACAGCATCTCCGACATCCTACCCATAATTTGAAATTCCCGCCGAGAGGGACCAGAGCCAATAGGACGTCCCCTCTCCTCCAACTCACGCCGAAGGCTGGCCAATGACTTCCGCACCGACCCAAAGATGTCCTGCTCCCAGCCTTGGAGACTGGACTGCACTCCTCTCAACTTCGCCTGAACGTCATTCAGAGAGCTGCACCCGAGTGTGGGCTCCAAGCGTCCCTGATATGGGCCATATAGGTTGGATCTCTTTGCCACATATTCTCATATCTAAAATTCTTCTTGCGCCTCCTTCTTGAATTGTGCTCAAGGCATTCCACCACCAAGCAACAATGATCTGACAGTGTATTTTGGACATGCCAGATTTTCACTTGTCGAAAGAGGCTGAGAAAGGACGCATTAGCAAGACCATGATCCAATCTCATCTTGACGTTCCTGTTTCCCTCTTGTCTATTGTCCCATGTGTATGGGAGGCCGATGTAGCCTAGGTCTGTAAAGCCACATACTGACACCGCCTCCCTGAAACCATCCATTTGCCTCTCCGCTCTCCCCACACCGCCAAACTGTTCGCTAGCATGCAGCACCTCATTAAAATCACCAACACAAAGCCACGGTAAGGAAGAGCGAGTATTTAGGAATTTCAAACACTCCCAGCTTCTATACCTGAGCTCTCTCTTAGCTTCTCCATAAAAAAGCCTGTAAACCTCCACTTCTCTGCATTAGTTGCCGGATCAGTGATCGAAACATCTATATGCAGTTTATCTAAACTTTGCAGCTTAACAACCAACTCCTCCTTCCAGAGCATCGCGAAGCCACCACCACTCCCTCTAGTTCCAACTCCCAGCCCGCTCGTGAAACCAAGCGACCTCAGAAGTCCATCCACTCTGTCCGAAAAGAAATGTGTCTCTGAGAGAAACACGAGCACGGGCCGGTGTAGCTCACAAAGGCTACGAAGATCACGAACTGCCTCGGGCTGCCCTAGGCCCCGGCAGTTCAGGCACAATATTTTCATTGTGCCCGGCGGGGGCTGCAACTCGCAGCCGCCGCCGATCGTGCATTATGTGAAAACGAACCCCTTCTTTGCTTCTTTAAGGTCTCCTCCAAACTCCCCCCACTACTCTCCGTACCACCATCCAGCTGGGTCACCCTTGAGTTTACCTGCCCTGCCGGCACAATGGCACCGACACCCACCTCCGGAGAGTTTAGGTCCGGTGTCTGCAGGGTCGGTGCTGTCACCTTCGACTTTCTCTTTCGATGTGGCTGCTGCTCGTCCACGGCCATCTGCTCATTCACGGCCATGTCAAGTTTCCGATTAGCCTGCCCTTTTGCCCTCTCCACAGTTTCTGCAGCATCCTTCAGTGGCGACTGGACTTCCAGCTCCTCCTCCTCCTCTCTCGGGTTTGAGGAGGAGTGACAGGAGCCGCCATCTCCCTTCCTCGACCTGGACTGTTCCGATTTGCTGAACTGCGTCCGAGGTGGTCGAGAGCCTGACGACGAACCACTGCCCCATGATTCTGCTACCGCCTCAGCGAAAGACTGCAGCCTCCTCCTCCTCTCTCCAGGCGCTCCTAGTGGTACATCATACGGCAGCTTCCCCAGCTCGTTACGTGGAACCGGGTGCGAGCACTCCACTTCCGAGTGCCCCAAGATGCCACAAGCAAAGCAAAAGAAGGGCAGCCGCTCATATTGTACCCCAAACCATTTAAGATCCTCATTCTTGTTCACCCGAAGTAACACCCCCCTGCGGAGGGGTTTCTCAATCTCAATGGCTACCCGAGCACGTAGGAACGCCCGCTAGCCTTTCCATCTGCATCTACGTCCATTTTGATGCCGATGAGTCCCATTGCCCGGCTCCCCCTCTGTTGGTTCATCCACCCTAGAGGAAGGTTCAGGATCCTCACCCGAATCTCCATACGGTCAAAAACAATTTCAGAAGCACTCAATCTTTCATCATATTGCT